CATTTTGGGATTGACATCAGAGACTGCTACCTCAGCCACAAATAAGGGGACTGTAGGGAAAGGAGCAAAACTGCATGTAGAAGCTCTATCAGAGGAGACTGTAGTAAATGAAAGAGCTAAGCTATATGTGGAGGCCCTAACAGAGCACAGCAGAGCCCAGGGAAAGCTGAGAAGGGAAAATGACAGGCCACTGAGCCCAAGTACATTAGCTAGTGAAACTGAAGAAAGGAAAGCTGCAATGGAGGAAACTAAATCGAATGAGTGGATACACAAGGATATGCAGTGGGAGAATGAAAGGGTGATGTCAGTCTTTGTGTATGGGCTCCAGGAAGTTGAAGGTGAAACATATGAAGCAAGAAAACAAGGGGAAAAAAAAGTAATTGAAAGCATCATAAAAGCAATAGGAGAAGACATGACCCAGCTGGAAAATTTTCGGAGAATAGGGGGGGTTGTAAAAAAAAAAAGACAGCGCTGTATAGCCCTTGTGGCTTAGCGCTTCTTTTTTATTATAATAATAATGTAAAAAAAAGAACCCGGCCAGTGAAAGTGACCTTCAAGGCAGAATCGACTCGGAACAGGATCCTGCAGGAGAAAGCACGATTAAGGGACATGCCCGCATACAGGAAGGCATATCTCGACCGCGACAGAACACAAGAAGAAAGGCAGAAACAGAGAGATGGTACAAGGGTGAAAGGAGGAAAGAGAGGAGATGGAGAAGACAGACAGGAGATCCCAGACCCAGGAAGAAGATCAAATACAGCCTCCCTCACAACTTCCTATAGAAGCCCCCCAACCAGGTCAACCCCAGTGCAACCAAACACTCTAAACCAAAACACCCATGCCATATCCAATGCCCCCACCCACTGCATTACAAACTCCACCCCCACAGCAACCACCCATAGTTCTTTATCAGGTCTCCCACTTCCCCAACCCCAATATACCTCCCAGACCACAGTCTTAGAAAAGAAGTTGAAGGTGTGGTATACAAATGCAGATGGAATAACAAATAAGTATGAGGAGTGGCATGAAAGAATCAAGGAGACATCCCCAGACATAATAGCATTCACAGAAACAAAACTCACCAGAATAATAACAGATTCAATCTTTCCATCCGGATACCAAATCCTCAGGAAAGACAGAGGGGGGAGAGGGGGAGGAGGAGTTGCACTGCTCATTAAAAACCAGTGGGGTTTTGAGAAAATGGAAGGAATGGATGGCACGGGCGAAAGGGACTACTTAGTAGGAGCAATCCAGTCTGAGGGACATAAGGTAATAATTGCATTAATGTACAACCCACCACAAAACTGCAGGAGGCCAAGAGAAGAATACGATGAGAGCAACAGAGCAATGGTCGACACACCAGCCGAGGTGGCCAGGAGAGCACACATGGGGGGAGCAAAGTTACTAGCTATGGGTGATTTCAATCACAAGGAGATTGACTGGGAAAACCTGGAGCCCCATGAGGGTCCCAAAACATGGAGAGCCAAGATGATGGCTGTGGTACTGGAAAACCTCATGCATCAACATGTTAGACACACTACCAGAGAGAGGAGAGGATGAACCAGCAAGACTGGACCTTGTATTCACCTTGAGTGGTTTGGACATCAAGGATATCCTGTATGAAAGGCCCCTGGGAGCTAGTGATCATGTGGTTCTGTGCTTCAACTACATAGTTGAGCTTCAAGTGGAGAGAGTAGCAGGAATAGGTTGGGAAAAACCAAACTACAAAAGGGGGAACTACTCAGGCATGAGGAACTTCCTGCAAGACATTCAGTGGGAAAGGGAACTGACAGGAAAACCAGTACAAGAAATGATGGACTATGTGGCAACAAAATGCAAGGAGGCAGAGGAAAGGTTTGTTCCCAAGGGAAACAGAAATAATGGGAAGAACAGAACGAGTCCTTGGTTCACCCAAAGGTGTAGGGAGGCAAAAACTAGGTGTGCTAGAGAATGGAAAAGGTACAGAAGACAGAGAACTCAGGAAAATAAAGAGATTAGCCGAAGAGCCAGAAACGAATATGCACAGATAAGAAAGGAGGCTCAGCAACAATATGAAAATGACATAGCATCGAAAGTCAAGTCTGACCTGAAGCTGTTGTATAGCCACATCAGGAGGAAAACAACAGTCAAGGACCAGGTAATCAGACTGAGGAAAGGTGATGGGGAGTTCACAAGAAACGACCGAGAGGTATGTCAGGAGCTCAACACGAGATTTAAAGAAGTATTTACAGTGGAAACCAGTAGGACTCCAGGAAATCAGAACAGGGGGGTACACCAGCAAGTGCTGGATGAGGTATATATAACCAAGGAGGAGGTGAAGAAGCTGCTATGCGAACTTGACACCTCAAAGGCGGTGGGACCAGACAACATCTCTGCGTGGGTCCTTAAAGAGGGAGCAGAGATACTGTGTGCGCCATTAACAAAGATCTTCAACACATCAACTGAAACTGGGCAACTCCCTGAGGTATGGAAGATGGCAAATGTAGTCCCAATTTTTAAAAAGGGAGACAGACACGAGGCACTAAACTACAGACCTGTATCACTAACATGTATAGCATGCAAGGTCATGGAGAAGATCATCAGGAGGAGAGTGGTGGAGCACCTGGAAAGAAACAAGTGTATAATTGACAACCAGCACGATTTCAGGGAAGGAAAATCCTGTGTCACAAACCTACTGGAGTTTTATGACAAGGTGACAGAAGTAAGACAAGAGAGAGGGGTGGATCGACTACATTTTTTTGGACTGCAAGAAGGCCTTCAACACAGTTCCTCGCAAGAGGTTACTGCAAAAGCTAGAGGATCAGGCACACATAACAGGAAAGGCACTGCAATGGATCAGAGAATACCTGACATGGAGGCAACAACGAGTCATGGTGCATGACGAGGTGTTAGAGTGGGCGCCTGTGACAAGCGGGGTTCCACAGGGGTCAGCCCTAGGACCTGTGCTGTTCTTGGTATATGTGACTGACATAACGGAAGGGATAGACTCAGAAGTGTCCTTGTTTGCAGATGATGTGAAGTTAATGAGAAGAATCAAATCGGATGATGATCAGGCAGGACTACAAAGAGACCTGGACAGGCTACAAGCCTGGTCCAGCAACTGGCTCCTTGAGTTTAACCCTGCCAAATGCAAAGCCATGAAGATTGGGGAAGGGCAAAGAAGACCGCAGACACAATATAGTTTAGATGGCCAAAGGCTGCAAACCTCACTCAAGGAAAAAGATCTGGGAGCGAGTATAACACCGAGCATATCTCCTGAGGTGCACATCAATCAGATAACTGCTGCAGCATACGGGCGTCTGGCAAACCTACGGAGAGCGTTCCGATACCTCAGTAAGGATTCGTTCAAGACTCTGTATACCATTTACGTCAGGCCCATACTGGAGTATGCAGCACCAGTTTGGAATCCACACCTTGTCAAGCACGTCAAGAAATTAGAGAAAGTGCAAAGGTTTGCAACAAGACTAGTCCCAGAGCTACGGGGATTGTCCTACGAAGAAAGATTGAGGGAAATCGGCCTGACGACACTGGAGGACAGGAGGATCAGGGGAGACATGATAACGACATATAAAATACTGCACAGAATAGACAAGGTGGACAAAGACGGGATGTTCCAGAGATGGGACACAGACACAAGAGGTCACAATTGGAAGTTGAAGACTCAGATGAACCAAAGGGATGTTAGGAAGTATTTCTTCAGTCATAGAGTAGTCAGGCCGTGGAATAGCCTAGAAAGTGACGTAGAGGAGGCGGGAACCATACATAGTTTTAAGGCGAGGTATGATAAAGCTCATGGGTCAGGGAGAGAGAGGACCTAGTAGCAATCAGCGAAGAGGCGGGTCCAGGAGCTATGAATCGACCCCTGCAGCCACAAATAGGTGAGTACACACACACACACACACACACACACACACACACACACGAAAAAAATAATGAATACTACATACCACAGAAAGAGAAAAGAACAACACAAAGACTGAATATCATTTAGCGAATTTGGTGGGACCTCCTCCTCATTTCTCCCCTTGTGGTTGTTTTGTGTATGTATGTCGTGCCGAATAGGTAAAACTGGCCAATTAGCAATAAGTTTTCTAAGGTTCTTTTGGTACAAAATTATAAATTTTACATTAACATACATGAAAAAAATATATCTTTAAACGTATAAGAGAAAATTTTAGAAAGGACTTAATTTTAAACGAGTTCTTGCTAACTGGCCAATTTTAACCTATTCGGCACGACATGTATATAATGTCTATTGAAGATTCTGGCAGAAATGAAGACTATGTTAGTGGTCCCGGGATCATCGACGTCGAGGCTCGGTCTAAGGTCTGGTCTCTTAAATGGAAAAGAAAATATTATGGAAAATATAACTTTTCGGAAACAAAGTTATGTAATTTGTAAGACTTACTGAATGTAAGAAGTCTAAGATTTACCTTCCATCTCAGTGAATATAAGTAGCAGTTTATAAGACTTACCTGTGGTCTTACTGAATGGAAGATCGATGTTGTACGATTTACCTGCCGTCTTGCTGAATATACAAGGATTTTCAAGACTTACCTGTCATCTTTTGTGTGTTTAGGATACTAAGTAAAAGCAAGCAAGGTTGCCAAACTGCCAAATATTTAATAAATTTCAGTTTGAAAGTGGTGAGAGGCCTAGTCAAAGACTGGGCCGCGGGGGCGTTGACCCTCAGAATGACCTCCAGGTAGGTTGGTAGGACGGTGGTACCTCCCCGGAAGGATGCTGTGTATACCAACCTATTAACTCCATTTGCGCCTTGTAACTACAGCTTGTGTAGGCACCGAAGGTTGTTAGTGCCAGTCAGTGACCACCAACAAGGAGGTGCCAACCACTACTACATGTGACATGTGATGTGGCAGTTTAAAACTTTACTGAGTAGTGACCTGTGTTCACCACAGACTAGACTCGAATGATGGATGTGAGAGGCAATAGTGCCCAACTGTTACAGAAAAATGACAAACTACTATGAGTTTAAGTACCTTTGCTCTGGCCGGTGACCTTGTCTCTGAGCACGTTGATTTGGTAGACTTCACCGTACTCCTCAAACATCTTACGGAGGTCGTTCTCGTCCATGGAGCGAGGGATCTGGCCCACGAACATCTTGATAGCGTCTGGGTCAGGCTCTCTGTGTCCACTGTTCATCACCCTGCAACACAAGGGCGACCTCACACAGTGGCCATACTCCATAACAACACTAACATCACGAATGACAGACACAGACAGACAGACAGACACACACACACACACACACACCACAGACATACACACACCACAGACATCCACAGACACACACCACAGACATCCACACACACACACACACACACACACACACACACACACACACACACACACACACACACACACACACACACACCTGTGACAAGCGGGGTTCCACAGGGGTCAGTCCTAGGACCTGTGGTGTTTTTGGTATATGTGAATGACATAACGGAAGGGACAGACTCAGAAGTGTCCTTGTTTGCAGATGATGTGAAGTTAATGAGAAGAATCAAATCGGACGAGGATCAGGCAGGCCTAAAAAGAGACCTGGACAGGCTACAAGCCTGATCCAGCAACTGGCTTCTTGAGTTTAACCCTGCCAAATGCAAAGTCATGAAGTTTTGGGAAGGGCAAAGAAGACCGCAGATACAATATAGTCTAGATGGCCAAAGACTGCAAACCTCACTCAAGGAAAAAGATCTGGGGGTGAGTATAACACCAAGCACATCTCCTGAGGCGCACATCAATCAGATAACTGTAACATTAGTTGCACTTGTGTCCTTTTACTTTACATATTGTCGGTAATTCTACCAACTTTATTACAATCAGATAACTGCTGCAGCATACGGGCGTCTGGCAAACCTACGGATAGCGTTCCGATACCTCAGTAAGGAATCGTTCAAGACTCTATATACCATTTACGTCAGGCCCACACTGCAGTATGCAGCACCAGTTTGGAATCCACACCTGGTCAAGCACGTCAAGAAATTAGAGAAAGTGCAAAGGTTTGCAACAAGACTAGTCCCAGTGCTAAGGGGATTGTTCTACGAAGAAAGGTTGAGGGAAATCGGCCTGACGACACTGGAGGACAGGAGGGTCAGGGGAGACATGATAACGACATATAAAATACTGCGCGGAATAGACAAGGTGAACAAAGACGGGATGTTCCAGAGATGGGACACAGAAACAAGGGGTCACAATTGGAAGTTGAAGACTCAGATGAATCAAAGGGATGTTAGGAAGTATTTCTTCAATCCTAGAGTAGTCAGGCCGTGGAATAGCCTAGAAAGTGACGTAGTGGAGGTGGGAACCATACATAGTTTTAAGGCGAGGTTTGATAAAGCTCATGGAGCAGGGAGAGAAAGGACCTAGTAGCAATCAGTGAAGAGGCGGGGCCAGGAGCTATGAATCGACCCCTGCAACCACAAATAGGTAAGTACACACACACACACACACACACACACACACACACACACACACACACACACACCACTACACACACTCACAATGTTACAAAAGACATTAATTTCAGAATAAAAGTGCCAGTGCCGTGGCTAGAACAACTAACCACTAACACACCAGTTGCAGGTAAAACTTCAAACGAGGTTCAGGTCCATTCTGAAACATTATCAAATAATACTGATGCTGCATAATAGGTCACTATGGACCGAAACGTCGTGTGAAGATTGTTTTGAAGGTAATGTGATCATATTAACTTCCTAGCATTTCTCATCGTTTCCTAAGATATGCGGAACATATTTCCTAACTTACATATATTGACATGTTTTCTAACTTTAAAATAATTATTTGCTATGTTTTCTGGCTTACACTTGTCTGTTTCATATGTTTCCTGGCGTATAACTGCTTATTTAATTAGTGGAACAAAGTATATAACTAAAACTAAATTAAATTAGAAGCAACTACAGTAACCAGCCAAGTGTCTATCGACACGTACCTTCGACTACCGATAAATACAAACACACACACACACACACACACACACACACACATAACTAACACACACCTTCAAGAGAAGGTATGACGCAACCAAGGGCAACATCGTATCGCAGGCAATCCTCCCTTCAAGTTCGTGATCCAAGGAATTGGAACTAACCTCTCCTCCCTTGGATCAAGCCAGATTAGCTCCCATTTTCTCTTTGCTTTATGACCCTCACGGGTTGAGAGCTTCCTTGTGATATAAAATAATAACAGACAATGGAATGCGGTACACGTGTGCACTGCTACAGTCATACATGGAGTACACACACTACTACAGGGTATACACACACTATCACATTGTACACACATACAGTCACATTGTACACACATTGTCACATTGTACACACACACACTGTCACATTGTACACACACACACTATCACATTGTACACACACACACAGTGACATTGTACACACACACACACAGTCACATTGTACACACATACACTGTCACATTATACACACACACTGTCACATTGTACACACACTGTCACACTGTACAAATACATACTATCACATTGTACACACACGCACTGTCAGTGTACACACATACATTATCACATGGTACACACACGCACTGTCACAGTGTACACACAGTCACCTCCTTGGACAGGATACTACACTGACTTCTGTTATTCGTCCTTTGAGTTATCCTCAGGCGGCTCCTTCTCCTTTCCTTCTTGCTTCCCCTCCTTTCCTTCTTACACCCCTTCACCCTTTTCTCCCCTCCTCTCCTCCCTCTCCCCTACACCCTCCAAGAATCGGAATCCAATACGAGGGCCGAGGAAGGGCGCCACTAACGGCCTGTTCCCTGCATCAATTCCAGCAGCCAACAATTTCCGGCGGGTGCAGGCAACGTCTTGTCCCATCACCACCACCACCACATGCCTCAGGCCACACATATATCTTGCCTGCTTGGTCCAATAGGCTGCTGCTGCCCGAAGGCCTACAGAAGTATCTTAGCCCGACTGATCCTCAGGGAACTGGTCCAGTTTCGTCTTGAGAGTTTCTGCCTTTGCTGTGAAACCTGTTGGTAGCAGGTTGAGGTCTGGGACCACGGATGGTGACAAAGTGCTCTCTTATAATGTCCATGGCGCCCCCGCTTTATAATGGATTTATTCTGTCTCTCCTCCTGTATCTCTCCTGATAAGTTATTTTATTGATCACTGATTTATTTCACATTTCCTCTTAAGAGAGCAATACTCTCTAAGTCAATTTATTTAAATCATTCCTTACATAATTACTAAGGCAATTATTATAATGCTGCCACTCCCCTAATTATCGTAACTTCTCCATTATCCTCTTTCCCCTGGTCACACCTACTTCCCCCCTTCCCTCCTTACCAATCAAGTGAGAGTACAAAGAGGGGTATGGGGAAGCGAAGGGGGGGGAGAAAGTAATAAGGGGCAGGGATGAGGGGAGGAGGTAAAAAGGGAAAGGGGTGCGGGGAGGAGGCCCTAAGGGGAAGGGGTGCGGGGAGGAGGTAATAAGGGAAAGGGGTGCGGGGAGGAGGTAGTAAATGGAAGGCAAAGAAAGAAGATACGTTACTGTGTAAATTAATTGGGACAGGAGTAAATTTTGTGATTATCTCATATGTCTTAGTCTCCGGCTTAATGTAGTACGAGTTTTTATTTTCAGAAGAGTTTGCTACTGATTTCTGGAAACCATCCAGTTGTGGTGTTACCCTGCGACTCTCGTCAGTGCTACAACAGTTGTTGTTCTGTATGCTATTTCTACAAGTTAATGTGACTTCGCCAAATTCTTCTAAGTTCATGATTACTGGTGAAATTCATGATTGATGTTACACCTTGGAAGCGTGCAAGTATTGTAGTTCTTAAAAAAACATGCTGATATGAGTATCAGACAGATCGTCAAAAATTTTGGTCTAGCAAAGTCAACTGTTGGTTGGATTCTGAGGAGTTAATGACACTGGTGATCGTGGAGCGCTGCGTCGAGGAAGATGTGGAAGAAAATGCAAGACAACACCTCACGCTGACAAGGCTATCCTAAAAAATAGTGTGAATGATCCCAAGAAAACCAGCAAAGATCTACAAAGATTTGGCTTCAGTTAGCTTAAATGTTGATTTTTCAACTGTTCGACGAAGGCTCCTTGATCAATGGTAGTGAGGCGGAGCAAAGGCGAACTTCTTTGGAATGGACACATTCACCAAGCGCCAAAACACCCTCCTAAGATGTTTTGGGGTAGTTTTACTGTTAACGGCCCTGGACGGCTTGTTATTGTTGAGGGAACGATGAATTGAAAAATACACGGAAATCCTGGCAACTCATTTGCCTCTCATTGTGGATATAGATGGAGAAGGCATTTTCCAGCAGGATCTTGCTCCATGCCACACTTCCAGAAAAATGTGACGTTCTTCGAAGAGAATGGGTTAAACGTTCTAAATTGACCTGGAAACTCCCCTGACCTCAACCCAATTAAGAACCTATCGGCAATAAGCAAAGGAAAGATCGAGAAGCAGGACTGTTCAACAGTTTAGTAGCTAACTGCTGTTATTAGGACCTGTTAGCACGACGAAGAACATGCTAAAATGTGTTCAACATTGGTCGATTCTCTGCCAAATCGTGAAGTAATGATTATAAAAGCAAATGGTAACCATATTTCTTAATAAATAAATTATCTGTCATATCACTGCCGTATATTTTTCAAATAAACATTACTCTTCCATATAAACGTCTTATCTCATCACTGTCCCAATTAATATGCACACTACTGTAGAAAGGGCAAGGAAGGGGAGGGAATAAGAAGGAAACGGAAGGAAGCGCGGGGAGGAGGTAGTAAGAGGAAGATGAGGAAAGGAGGCAATAAGGGGAAGTAGGAGAGGCGGGGAGGGGTGACACAACATACATACAGGGAGGGGTGTTGCTTGTCACAAAGACTCATAACACAACATTTTCCTTTATGGCAATATGCTGCTGCTGCTGCTGCTGCTGCTGCTGCTGCTGCTGCTGCTGCTGCTGCTGCTGCTGTTACTGCTCTTGTTGCTCCTGCTGCTCTAAAGAATCAAACGAACCAAGTTTTATTGGCATAGAGGGAACAATCATTCTCCCCTCACACCTTCCCCTCCCCCATGCCCCTCTCCTCCCCTCGCTAGTTCCTTCATGCCCAGAATAAGAACGTGGAATTCTGTTG